GCACGTACCATGATTATAAATAATAAAGAGATAAATGGATAAATCTATTATCTATGGCWTGTACATAGTGGGTGTTTTGAGACTTTGAGTGTTCAAACATCCCCCGAAATATTTTGGTTTTTGTATGGTTGTTTAGGTAGTTATCATATTTTAACGTTAATACTTRATTGTCATATTATACTGTAAGAGGGCGCGTGATACCCGATGTGTTGTCTTCGTCTTACAATTAATGCGTAACGTAGGCTTATCAGATCATCGTTTGTTATTTTAAAAATTACAATGAATTGACCTCTTATTAAATATTAACTGTAAAGGTAAGTKTATTATTTAGACGACCTCGTGGGCTTTTTACTATACTTTAATTTTGAAGCTAGTTATAAGTATTTCAAAATTATAAATTTTTCATACATCTTAAAATACTTGTAACTCACTTCAAAATTAAAATATAGTCCATGAGATCATTCAAATTATATTCTTAACTTCAAATTTTAATAGAGGTAAATTCACTAATTTTTATATTAACGGAGCTGAACGTGATTTGCTGAGCGTAGGTAATATTATATATGTTACGCATTTGTAAGACAGAGACAACCCATGCTGGTATCACGTCCTCTTAATGACTTAAGAGACAGGTAATAGGTATTATAATATTACATTKTATWTATGAAAAACCAGCTAAAGCAAAATAAAAATGTAATAGGTACAAACAAATTAAAATTAATAATATAACATAGAAGTTGATTGCAAAGATATTAATAATGGCAAGAAACTCACAAAAATTAGATTTAGTATTGTAATTTTTTTTTAACCTATATAAATGTTTATATTTAAAAAAAGAATTAAAACTAATATTCATAAAAAAATTCATATGTTAATAAAAAAGTTCTACTTTTCAATAACTGATTTTTCAAAACACACCCCAAAATTTTTTTCTGCGTACGTCAATGATAACTGCTGTTTAGCATATTTTCCAATGACGGAATCGTGCAATATATGACTTATATTATATTGTTTAAGTAGGTATGTATGGTTTCACAGGATTGCAGGTATACAATTAATGAAAAATGTTCAAAAATTAATGTTGGATACATTTTTTCGATTTACCTGATTTTCGAAAACTTTTCCAACGGTCACGATTACTTGTTGGGTATATTCTTTTACCTCCGGGGTGTCGGTTAAGTAAGGATATGGCATATTTGAACGTATTGCAGGTATGATTGCGTCAACTATAGAATTTAAAACGTGATTTKGAATGTTCACTGGTTGCGGCAAGATGTTCATGTTATTATTATCTCGTGCTCCGTAGTAATTCATGTTGGTTACGCCACCGTAGTACATCTGCCGTTGCTGTTGCTGTAGCGTACTTTCGATTGGTTGACTTGCATCATATTCTATCAGCTGTTTGCCTATGAAAAAAACTATAATAGTTTGCTTGTTTGGAAATACAATTGTAGGTAGATATAGATTGTATTGATATTTTGTGAAAATACCTGTTGAATCCGGTTGCGTATAATATGGTTTATTCTTATAATATTTTGATGTCGGGGTAATGGTAGATTTCTGGGAGTATTTGTCAATCAGAGCACCTGGTAAATTATGTAATGCCTCATAAGGATTGACATCTCGTTTAGAACGATAACCCTAAATATTTTTAAAATATAACRCATGTAAAAATAAAATTATGATTTCATACTCAAATTTGGTGAGCAACTTACGTATGAAGWGTTCATAACTGTATTCAAAGTCTGCTGAAGACTGCGCATCACGGATTGTACGATAGAATTTGTTAAACGAATAATATGACTCAATGGAGCACGTGGGAAATTCGCGCGTGTAACGTCAAATATTTCTTTAGTTCCAGCCAACGGTACATAAAGTGAATTCATGGGCATCATATTTTGTACAAACATATCGTTTGAAGATAAACTTGAAATTTCCTGAATATTATTTTGGTAAAATGTCAATGGCGTTCCGATGGTACTTGTACGTGTTTTACCATCATAACTTGTAAATCCATTATCTTGGTTTGAATTTCTTGTGTAATCTTTATTTAATAATGACCACGAATTAGAACTATCTTTAGGAGGGTTCCTTAAATCTACTTTCTTGTAAATACTTCCAGTATTATCCTTAAAACTTGGTTGATTGGAATTTCGGGAAAAACCAGGCAAATGTATATCAGGTGTAATCTGATTTTGAACAACAGCAGAATAAGCGTCTTGTTGATTATAATAATTTTTAATTGGCGGATACATTGGAATTTGACTATAAAATAACGGATATTGATGAGCATTTAATAATGAACTTAAAAGTTGATTATTGGCATTCAAATCAGGTTGTTGAATATAATTAACTGTATTTGGAAATGAGGGTTTATACCATGGTACATAAGCTGGAGGCGAATTTAATAAATAATTAGTTTTTGAATAATTGTTATCACTAGTTGGTGGMTGTATAGGAGATATTTKAAGGGTATGAATATCATTAGGATTGGCKAACACAGATATTTTAGCTTTGTCTTGATTCGCAATTTTAAGATTTTCTGTGCTCCCAATATCTGATTTAGCGTATTTAGATAGTCCATTCTCTAGTGATTCGTCAAATACTAAATCTTCCAATGAATTAAATGAATAATTTTCTTCATTGTCTTTATTCAATAGAAAAACTGGTGATTCAGACACTGCTTTTTCCAATTCTTCATTTAACTGTGTATCTGTAGCACTTACAGGCAATGGACTTTCATGTAATGGAATTTGTGACTTTTGAGTATCRCCATATAAACCGATACCTTTTATTAAACCACCTTGTTGTGGATCATTTCCTACTTGCGTATTGTCCATTAGTAATTGTGGCGGTGTATCATTCAATTCTAATTGTG